TGCTAAGTCCATTCATTTGGTCAAAAGCAAGGTTGGACCCAGATTCTAAGGCATTGGAAAGGGCAGAGGGCCAGGTGCTGGTATTTGCTCAACTATAAATGCTGATGTGGTCAACCCTGCTCGAATTTACCAGCCCTCAGTAAAGTTGCAACTGTAAGGCATGAATCCCAGTCCTCCGATCATGCCAGGGAAGGGGCTGGTGCTGCACCCAACCACTGATGCTGTCCTGGCAGGAAAGGACTGAAGTTAAGGCTCCATTACCACCCTGGCCCCAGGTCACACCAGGGAGGGAGCAGTGCTTCCCTAACCATGTGTGTTAACAAGCCCTCTCTCTCCCAGGGCCTGGCATCTGGCCCTGCTGGACCTCTGTACGTTGCTCCACAATGAATGGGCATATCTCCTACTAACTAATCCTGTATCTGAGAGCTTCCTCCAATGCTCCACAGACATGGCGCGAATGTCTTTTGCCCATTTGCCCTGTTTGCATAAGATCCTTACAAATAGGCCAAACTCTAACTGAAGATCCAGCCACTGATTTGCTGCAAGTGTTTGTCAGTCCCTGACTACTCCGTGCCTGCTACTCCAGCTAGAGTCAAGATGTTTGACCTGAAGGATGAAACTGCCAGCCCTGCACTGAATGGAATCCAGGCCATAATGTATACAAGGGCCCCATCTTGAGCAGCAGTGGGGATCAGAACTTGTCTGCTGTGCCTGACTCTGGCCAGAGGGCTCTGGCGAGGCTCTGGTCACATATGTGCCAGTGGGCTGAACGTTGGCCCAGACTGCACCCAGGTGTCCAGTCCCTGTGACTATGGCTTCTGCTCATGTTCATTTGCTCCATAGTTGGTTCCCTGAGGGTGCTGGAGCCATGCCCTGGACTGCAGCCTGCTTGGTTGGGCCCTGACAACCTGCCTTTTGCCATCTGCCGGCTGGTATCCTGCTTTAACCTGAATGGGCACCCCTGAAATCAGGATGCTGCCACCTGCCCCTGAGCACAGCTGCCGCCTAGCTGTTGCTGTGGGGCCTCCATTAGCTTGTCTAGACCAATCAGATCAGATATGCGGAAGCTGCACCACCGTCACCTCAGGGGGAACCCTACAGCCAGGTGAGTGCCCATTCCACTCTAGCTGCACATTCCTGATAGTCCTAGCTTCCCTCCTCATGAAAATTCTACTCCAGATTAGAAAAGCTGCACAGATAATTTTCACCATTGCTCTGTACACCAAGCACTCAAAGGCTATCACTAGTATTTTCATCAATGCCAACTCAGTCCTTTTAGCAATACAGGCATGGTTCTTGGGGCCTATGAACTGATTAAGGGCATAGAAAAATCATTCAGATCTGACAAAAAGTAGTTGCAAAACAAAACAACACAGCTTAACTTAAAAAAAACAATAACACAAAAAACTTCACAGTCAAAGCATTCTATTTACCAAGGAATAAGGGTGAATTTTATTATGCTATATGGTGGGACATCTACATTTGAGCAAGTCACAGATCTGTCCTCACAGAAGCCCTACCCTGATGGCATTTCCCAAATTTGACCTCATTCTCAGCCATTAACAGGACAGGGGCAATCATAGCGCAATGCTTACTAACCACAGGGGTAGTGGGCACTCCAATATTTGATGAGTGAATGGGTAAATGAATGAATGAATGAATGAATGAAGCAACGAATACATTCTCTAATAAAAGTACATTGAGAGATTTTTTTTAAAAAATCAGAAAAAAGAAGTCAGGTGTTGTTGTTTAATGGATATTGAGTTTCAATTTTGCAAGATGAAAAAATTCTGGAGACTGACTACACAGCAACGTAAATACACTTAACACCATTGAACTGTACACTTAGAAATAGTTAAGATGGTAAATTTTGTTATGCAGGTTTTTTTAACCATGATAACAAAAGAATTTAGGAAATAGAACCAAATACTAAAAACCAGAAATAAAATTTTTAGAAAAATTCAGAATATACCTATGATAGTTCTCTGAATCTCACTGGGGCTAGTCTTAAAGTTTCATCCCTGTAGCCCTGACTTCTTCAGCCTTTATTTTCCAATATTGTTTCTTATTTCTTTTGTGACTTCTTTTTTGGGATCAGTAATAAAGAGTTTTCTTATTTGATTTGTTATCATAGGTGACAGAATTTGATGGCTTCAATGAAGCCATAAAAATGAAAACAAAAGCAACTGTTGTTTTATGTAATTGGGAGGGATTCCTATAGTAGAGAACAAAAAGTGCTGAATTACATTTTAGTATATAATTTTCAGGAGTTTTCATATATGCAAAGCAATTCTTTGTTTGCGTAGAACAGTTACTAACACAGACTCTGAAGCTAGCTAACTAGTTAATACTACCTCCTCCACTAACCAGCTTAACCTCTTCGTACCCCAGGTTCCCCATCCTTAAAATGAAGATAATTTTTAAAAGCTTAAAAAAGCATTTCCCCCCCCTGTGAAATGGGAATAGTAATTTTTAAAAGCTTAAGCAAGAATTTTACTTTGAAATTTAAGTAAGAACTTATCCCATTTTTACAAATCGAAAAATAAAACTATACTTTTAATAATAGATTAAAAGGTTAAGAAAATAACTTATCAAATTCTAGTAACATCTCTTTAGTGCATAATTTTATAATCACCTATGAGCCCCACATTCAAAAGTAACCACTGTGAACATGGTGTACGGTACATACCAAATATAAATATATTTTACATTGTGTTTTGTATCGTATTTCTCTATTTAATGTATCATGAGCGTTTTTTCAAATCAATGCATATTTGGGGTTTCCTATACAATTTAGAATAAAATCCCATGTCCTCACCTTGGCCTACAAGCCCCAGTGTGATCCGGAGCCTCCTGGCCTAACCTTAGCTCCCCCTCCCCCGCCCCCTCCAATTACTCACTGAGCTGCAGACACAATGGTCTGCTTGTTAGTCTGGGCCTGCTCAGCATACACCTGCCTCAGGGCCTTTGCACTCACAGTCCTCTCTGTAGAACCTATTCCTCCAGATTTTCATAAGGCTCACTCCCATACCTCATTCATGTCTTACCTTCTCACAGGTGAACACCTTATGCAAAGGAGCAACCACTGTCTATCCCGTTGCCCTGTTTTATTTTTCATCATAGCGCTTACCATTGCTTAATATATTACACGGCTATTAGTGGCTAAGGCCCATTTTTCCCAGTAGAATGTAAGTGCCATGAGGGCAAGGATTTTGTCGATCTTGTTGGCTGTTTTATCCCCTGGGACTAGGTTCTAAACAAATATTTGGTGACTGAATGAATCAAGGAATTTTGCTCTGATTTATAATTTCATGACTGCACAGAATGCTGTTGCATAGATGTTGCTTAATACATATAACTAACACCCTATTTTGAGATATTGTAAATCACACTGCAATGGACATGCTTAAGTACATTTTCTTCAATACTTTTCAGTGGTTCCTTCAGGGCTAAGTTAGCATAGCAGCTTCTTAAACATCCCCCTTCCCCTTTTTCCTCCCTCCATAGGGTGCATCACAGCCAGACTTATCTTATATCACATTCCTTTCCTCATCCTGAATATATAGAAGCTTAAGCCCAATCTCTGAATGCTGGCATGTTCTTAATTTTCTTTGCACTCTTTGTTCCCATCACTGCTCAGAAACACATTTTCCACTTTAAACAGTTTGCTCCACCGCTCACTTCCTCTAATCCGTTAGTTCCCTCTTACAGAATATATTCTTGTTTCTTTACCTGCCCAAATTACACCCATCTTCAAATTACACCCATCTTCCCAGCCTTCCACCCATCTCTACTGATTCCATCATGCTTTCCTTGAGTCCAGTCTCTATCATCTCTCACTTCTCTGAATTTTCTGAACTTTTCTGCTATTCCCTGTATCCATCATTCAAGATGACCCTTGGCCATCTGCCACGTTCTAGCACCTACCGTGCTGTTGATGACAATGTGCGACTTCCTGAAACCTACCTTTTCCCCTTTCTCAAAGTCCTATGCAGTCCTAGCCACAAAACAATAAGTATTTTCTAATTTCTATGTTTTGTAAAAGTCAAAACTTTCGGGGAAATTGAGACAGCTTTTTGAGGGAAGAAACAGTGATAGTTCTTGATATTTTCATCTTGCCATATACGTATTTTCTTTGCATATTATCTACCCATTATCCTTACATAATTTTGATTCTTAAATTTCTATTTGCAATCTTTATTAAATCACCATATGAAATATGTTTCTGACGATTTTGTTTTAGGCTTTGACTTGTCTTAAGATAACATTATTTTTATGAAGTTACTGTTTTTTACAAAATACAAGGCCTCACTTAGTACTATTATATTCAACAGCTATAAAATTTATCAAATTGCTATAAATATTTATGTTTCCTCTCAATTTCTGTATTGTCCAGACCACTGGCAGTTTTCAGCCTGGGCTGAGGGCCAGACTTTGAGGAGCACTGCTCTAAGATGGTGCTTCTGTCACAGAACTTCATACCTCCGCCATCAGAATAAAGCTATTTTGAAAAGAACATGTCCTTCAGAAATTATTATAAAATCAGATGGGGGAATATCTGAGTTAGATATTTTTTGGTTTTGATATAGGGGACATGGGACACTAGGAAAATCACAAAGAGTACCTTTCCTTTTTCCCATTTTCATACATGACAAATCAAGTTCAAATGAACAAAGAGGGCTCTAAGAAAGGAAAAAACAATTCAAAATGGCGCAGCATGTATGCGGATGAAAGGTGTGCGCGGCAGGGTGGCCGAAGGTGCTTCTTCTCCGTGATGCTGCCGGGAACGCTCAGCTGAGTGCTCGGGCAGAGGGAAGGCTGCAAGCACCACTGAAGGTAAGTCCGTAAGACACACGCCTTTGCTTCTATAGCTCAGTAACTTACATTTCTATACTGAAGCCTCAGGTTTCTTTCTCAACCCCGTGTGCTTGCCGGTTGCCTGGGCCCTGGACCCTGGACCTACCAAAGCATCCAAGGCAGCCTGGCAAGTGGCCACTCACCGTCCTCCTCGAAGAGAAGTCCCATGTGTCCATGCGCCTCGGCTTCTTTCTTCCCACCGTCCGATTTGATCAGTTGAGCAATTTGGAAACATCGTTGGTAGAAGTAGTTCCTTACCCACTTGTCTTCAGAATTACTGAAGTAACAGGCCAGAGCATAGATGTTATTATAGACATCTTCAAGGAATTCTTTAAAGAAAGAAAAACATCATAAACTACATTAGAAAAATGTCTCATGACACCTCCCTTCAGATGGCAAACCAATATAGTGACATTTATTTTCTGTTTTTCCTTGAAAGTATGATTAACTGTTTTAAAAATCGAAATGCAAAAATTAAATTAATGTATTTTGACTATTAAAGTAGTTATATTATTTATATAGTTATATATTATATATATATTAGTTATATATTAATTACAGGATGTGCACGTGAGAAAAGCAACAAAAAGAATCTTTCCAAAAAACAAGAACATATTAGAAACTGACATACTCTTTGGTTGAAACACTAGACTTTAAGTCAAGAGAAAAGATACTGTCTACTAACAATGTGCTCAGGTCTTTTGGAAAAAATGAGTATGTGGTATCATCAAACACTGTTCCCACTGAAGACTTAAAAAGTATTTAGAGATTCCAGAGAAACTAATGTTTCTTAATGCTGGAGAAAAGATAATGGAAATGAAGAAAGCGGGTAGAATATGAAAATAGGAAGGTATTCTTACTCAGAAGAAAAGACAATGATGAGGCATATAAACAACCATGAGGCTAATATGAAATGGCCACCAGGATGACCTGAGAGGTTCCATACACTTTCTAGCAATGTTTCCAGCAATAAAAGTTACTGGCAATGTTAGGAAAGACTGAATAACTATGCTTCTGTTTTCTATGAGCATCTTTTTCTGCTGTAAATGCATTAACACTAGTCCTCCTTCTCATACAGTTATTAGTTTATTAGTTGTTAGTTTATTAAACCCCCCTTTGCCCCCTAAAATGTCATGTAACCTATTTGTACTCAAAAAAGTGTATCAATACATTATGAATCAGTCTTATAAAATCCACTGCAATCAACCGTAAACTTGGACAAAAATGTATATGTGTTAATAAATTGTGCCTCAGTCCTGTAAACTCTACTCTATTGGTGAATATGTACAAATTCATAATCTTTAGGTCTTTTTGCATTTGTGCTGAAAGCATAGTTGCAAATATGTGGTAGCCTCTGGATTACCTTTCCAAGGATTTTTAAAATAACAATCATTATTATTTACTGATACTAATTGTTCACTACTATCAGAAGAGCCAACCCATACATTCCTGAAAGGATTATAATTATGGAAAATATCTCCCCATTGCCCACTAGCACCCCTAGAAGATTAAAATCAAAAAGCTTAGAAAAACGGAAACTTAGGCTGACCACAACACAGGGCAACTTTCAAGAACTGTATATAAGTCATTCCAATATTTCAAAAGAAATTTCTAAAACCTTTATCATTCCTTTCCATATACTGTGCTATAATTCCATAGGAAATTAAGATTTATTTCAAAATAGGTTTATAACTAAAAATGAAAAACAAACAAAAACAGGTCTCCCTGTCTCCCTCCCTGTTTTTGAAGGACTGGGGATTCTGAGGAACCACTGCACTTTGAAGGCTGTTCATGACAGGCGACAGCTTAGGTGAACAGTGAAGCACAACCTGAGTTATTTACTTGAGAAAACAAATACTCTCCTCTCAGAACTGACTTCTAGGCTTTATCTTATCTAGTGGGAATAGAGCACTTAAGTCTATTTGTAATATTTTATATTCTTTGTCATATTTAGTGATTATTTTTAAAGCCTGTAAAATACTTCATGTCTTCTATTTCAACAAAGTTATATAAAGAGCTTTTAAATATATATATATATATATATATATATATACATACATACATATATATATATATATATAGTTTTGAAATAAGGTTTTTCAGTACTTAAACCTTAATAGAAAAAACACTTCCAACATTTCATAAACAAAGTTTTTTTTGGTTGTTTGTTTTTTTAGAATGAATTTTACAAGCTATCAAGATTCCATATTTAAAGACTGTTTGTTAGCTAAGCTATTTTTTCTATGGAAAATTAGAGTATTTTTCAGAATGTTAAGTTTATTATAAAGGAATATATTCAAGTTTGTACAATCCAAATGTATGGCCAGATCCCATTACGTTGTAAGCAGCCTTTAATCCGTGCTTACCACTTCTTTATTGTCAGGAGGTATATTTATAAGATGAAAATCAATTTTATTGTTGGTTTACTATTTAGATCAGTATTCGTTATGCTACCTAAAGAGGAGATTCCATGATAAAATAAATTTAGGAAATTCTCTTGCTAATTTCCCTTTTTCAGAGAACCATGGGTTATACACTGACACGTTAAAGGCTCTGATACGTCCTACAATGAACCAACCTGCTTAACATTAATGTTAATTCACCTGATGCTTCTCAAACTTATTTAACCAGACAATTACTTCTGTTTTTCTTTACATGAAACTTATCCTGTGGGACTCTGCTTGAGTAGAATATACTTTGGATATCTTAAATAAACGTTACCAGAAAAAACTATTGCTGAACCCTTGACAATAATTTAAGTCAAGTGTAAATAATGTTTGAATTATCTATTGATTCGGTTACCCATTACCATTATTGTCGTCTCTTCCCTAGCCCCATGGGGCATAAAGCCATAATTATAATGTTACAGATGGTCCAGAGATGATTCACAACAATGGGTAATTTAAGAAATGTTATCAGGGACAAAAAAAAAACACTTTAACAAATGGAAAATAATTCAAAGAGAAATGACTGGTTTACTTCAAACACTTCTTTGCTATATAACAGAAAATGATGTTTTGTACAGTAATTTAAATAACTCTAGGTTCCAGCTCTATAAGTCTCAAGAGACAGAACTGACCCGAGATGACTATTGTTAGTGCCACAGCTTTGATTAAATGAACTTCGTGGTAACCTTAGAGTGACGGTATTTCCAATGAGAAGCAATGAGAATGCTCAGAGATACGCTACTTCAGGATAATTGTCTCAGATCTCATAACCTTATGGGATGGAATCTTGAGACACTATTACAACAGTTTTCTATATTCTATACGAAGTGTGTGTATGTGGTATGTGGGCGTGCGTGTGTGCATGCGTGCGTGTGTGTGTGTGTGTGTGTGTGTGTGTGTGTGTATGTGTGCATTTTAAGATTTAGGATTAATTCAAGTCAGTAAGAGTGGATGTGCATATTCCCTATCCCATTTTCCCATCTTCTGGGATATTCTTTACTCAAATCACAATTTTTCCCCCAGTAAATTTCACGTGTTAAATGTGAAAAAAAAGTACACAAAATTTTTAAAAGAACATACAAATGTTTACATGTCCTTCAATTGAAGTATTTCCAATAATACCAATTTTTCAATAATTTTAATTTTCTATATTTCAAACAGGCAAAAGCTACTGTATTTGAAAGGAGATAACCCTATAGAAGAGTTATTCTGAACAAGCGGTAATTTAGTTCCATTTAACAAATGCAACCTTGGTTCCCATGAATATTAGACCCACTCAGTAAAGAAAATATTTATTTTCATTACTTCTACCATGTGTATAAGACATTGGCTATTATAAAATTTGGACTTTGTTGATTTGGGGAATTAGAGAAACATTTTTATTTATATGTATAGTTACCTTTCTTTCATAAAAGATTATAAATTAAAATGTTTTCTACCTTAAAATAGACTATTTAGCATTTTAGTTTATAATTATGAAATGCAATTTTCTCATATTTATGACATTTATGACAAGTGATGCATTTGGCTCATGTTTATTCTACTCAAAGCCTCTATTTAAAACATTTAGTGAATATGATGATTCAACTTGAAAAAAATGAACTACTGGGCAAATTTTCTCTTGATCAATTCTATTTTCAGTGTAAATATCACTGCAAAATTTGGTACTGATACTAGAATATAGGTTTTTAATAATAGTATTTTCCATTTATAACAGTCAATTTGTTGAGAAATTATATGTAAATCACGTTTTAAAATTCACTAATGGGCTTTGTTTTTAAAGTCAATCCTGCAGTTAAATACTTTTCAGGATACAAATATCACCCATCTCCACACACACACACCCCTAGTTCACTTATAGTGGCGGTGTTAGGATTTTTGTATATCTCTGATTTGTAAGTCAGGCCACAACCTGGTGGGAAATACGTACTGACTCTACTGTAGAGGATGAAAGACTCCTGCTACCCTTCTGATGCTGTTTCAGGTCCTCATCAAGTTTCCCCATTGTAGCGCTAGGTAACAAAAAGTTGCCTACCCCTCTATTTTCCCACAGAAAGGTCTGAAATGAAATGTAGACATTGTCATGCTGGGGCCTGAGCTTTTCTTTTTGACTCCTATTGTATTTTCACACACACACACACACACAAAAACAACAACAAAAAAGAAAAAACTGAAGAAAAGAACAATTTAGAACATCAATTTTATATGTCAAATTTTAGGATTTCTTTTCTTTCTTTGATTATATAAAATGGCAAATTTCTAATATGTAACTAAGAAGCACTCATGACAACAATATCAGTATAATTATAGTAGAGATGAAAATATTTTCTGCAATATTTGAAATGTATTGACTTTCTGGAAAATTTTAGGATTCAACGAAAGGAATTTGTTAGAAATGATGTGATGGAATAAATAAACAATTTTATTTATAATTGTGAATGGCAGGCTTTTCATGTCTTCTCACGATTCACTAATAAAAATTCTCTCATTGAAATCTGTAGGACTTATTGATAAAAACCTTCAAATTCCAATATGTAAACACTGGAAAATTAGTATAATTTTCAAGTTATAGTACTCTTGAAAATATCTCCTCGGCGCAAGTGAATATTTCGATTATATATGAAGACCAACAATAGAAAGATGTATAATGAATGATACAGAAGATTTTGATACCGTGCAAAGTTCAGCAGTTGTTATTAGGTGCTCTTCGCTGTCTGCCCTGGCTAGAATGATATCACCAGGATGCCCCTGTGTCTGGGGCAGCCTTGTGATTCAGTGTTCCTTATCATTTATTCCATAAAGATGCTTAGTTGACTACGTTGAACTAAGTTGTCTTCATGTTTCAAATTTATACATGCAACAATTTGCAACTTTGCCCGCAGCTCTCGCTGTTCTGGATTGGGCAGCGCCGCTGCCCACCAATCCGTCTCCTTACCTTTCCTTTCAGCCACCTCCGCCCTGGTCAGGTAGTAGTAGAGGTGATCCAGCTTATCAGGCTGCTCCTCCAGGGGCCTCTGCGACCAGAAGATGGACCGGACCCTCGCGGCCTCCCTCATGGCGTCCCACTTCTCCAACAGCGCGAAGAGCTCAGTAAAGGACTTATGATAACCATCTCGCAGCATGTCCACGCAAATGGTCTTTCTGTATGAGTTCCGGTAGCTGGGAATAAGGATCAGAACGCTCAAAGCGTTATTTTAATCCTGGAAACCCAGTGCAGTGTTTTTATCTTATAATAATTAAAGGTTGAATCATGCTGTTTTTGTTTCTGTTTTTTTTTTCTCAGTGAAAGCACTGAAAACACTATCTTTGCCTCAAAAATTTATAATTGAACAACTTTAGTTTAATGAAAGACGCCAGGAGCTATCTAAATATGGTAATTTTAATGAAATTACATTATAGATGTATCAGTTCCAGAGCTGAACTCCCTTTGATAAGGACAAATAAACTGCTTGACTGATGCCTTAGTGTGCTCGGGATGCTATAACAAAATACTACCAACCAAGTAGCTCATAAACAAAAGAAATTCATTACTCACAGTTCTGGAGGCTAGAAGTTCAAAATCAAGGTGCTAGTGTGGTAACCTTTTGGGGGGGGGCCCACTTCCTGGTTCATAGCTGGCACCTCCTAGCTGGGTCCTCACACAGTGGAAGGGGCTCTCAGGAGGTACTTTTATCAGGCACTAATCCCATTCACAAGGGCTCTACTCATGACCTAAGCACCTCCCAAAGACCTCATTTACTAACACCTTTGGGGATTAAGATTTCAACATAGGAATTTTGGGGGACCCAAATATTCAGACCATAGCAGCTGACGACATCCAAAAATACTTAAATACTAGCCTCTCAACAACACAAAACAACCGCTAAGCCAAGCAAAAGTTAAACATCTCACTAATATCAAAACAATGCACACTCTATGAGTATATTAAATGGTTTCACTGTATGTTATGGAGGCTTATTCATTCATTCATTCATTCATGCATGCAGGATATATTTATAGAAATTTATTACCAAATGCATTTTAAAATTATTCTCAGTTAGGATTAATGATTTGTTAGATTAATATTTCACTCAGTTAATAAATCATATGCAAGAAGATAAAGTGACAAATGAACATTCCATTTATTTATTCAATAAATAACTATTTGAGTTTCCTGTAAAGTGTCAGGTACTGGTCTAGACCAAATAGGTTTAATGACCTTGTAAAGTCTGTATTCTTGTGGGAGAACACAACCAACAGATAAGTACACAAATAATAATTTCAGATGATGAAAATTGCCACAGGAAATATCGCTATGGGATAATAGTTGTATGGTGGCTATTATTCCACTAAGTGAGCAATTAGAGGTCAAATATAACTATATTAATTATTTTACATCTTTTTCTAAAAATTAGGAGACAAATATTAGTATTTAGGACAACTGACAGGATGTGATATTACTTGCAATAAAAATGTCAGCCTGGAGCAGGAGCGGCCTAGAATGAGTCAAAAACCAGAGGTTGGGGTCAGAACTCCCAGTACCCCAAAATCTTCCTGGACCTCATTTCATCTGTGAAATGTGTGTGTTTACATAAGCCCTACCTACACCACAGCATTCCTCTAAGAACCAAATGAAATTACGAATGTGAAAATGACCTGGGAAACGTGAAGCCTGCACCACTGGTTCTCAGCTCCCTGCGATGCAACAGAGTCACCTATAGAGTTCAACAAACAAACAAACAAAACAAAAATGCCCAGGCCCCACCCGCCAAGAATTTCTTACTCAGTGGATCAGCTTAGGTGTAGAACGAAGTACATAAAGAGTGGTAAGGAGGGGGGTGGTGAGAGAGAAATTTAAAAAAAAGGCAGGACCCACATCATGATGAGAGCTTAAAGCCATTGTTTGGAAGTCTGGACTCCATGCTAGGAGTGGTGGAGCCATTGAAGGGATTGAATCAGGGAACTAACTCGATGGGATTGCATTTTAGAAAAATCATCTGGAAGGAGTGTCTCAGCTGAATTGCGACCCTCCTCCCATCTAGCTGCAGATGCAGGACACCTATTATTATAGGATGGGTCTGTAAAGAGAATAAGGAAACCACATTCCTAGGCCAAAAACTCAAAAGCCATCATCTTGTATGAGACAAATAAACACACACACACACACACACACACACACACACACACACACACACACACGTTTGAAATGAGGAAGAGAGAAGAAATAACAGATTTTTGTTTGTTTCTGCCCTCTAGTCAAGGTAGAGAAAGAAAACATGGAGAAGGAAGCAGTGATATGCTGTGAAGGATGATGTCTTCTCTCTCCTCCCTTCCCCACCTGCTCCGAGACAAGGGCATAGAAAGGCAGCAAAAGTCACTGTACAGGGTTCCTCAGAAGAGGACCAGTATGAGTCCCTAACATTTCCCATAGCCCCTGAATGGTTTGTGTAGGAGGCCATGATAGTCTAGTGCAGGGGTCAGCAAACTTTTGAGACCGAAGAGCTAATCCTGTCCCTCAAAGCTTTGTGAGACCTATAAAACAAATGAAATCACCATTATGTGAATAATGTCCTTTAAAAGTTTTATAAATGAAACTATGATAGTTTTATTTTCATTTTCAATTTTACCTCAGAGCCACATGTATGTACCCAAAGAGCCGCATGTGGCTGGCGAGCCACAGTTTGTCGACCCCTGGTCTAGTGGGTTCCATGTGTGACACAAACGTTAATGGAAAGACAGGGCTGGTATGTTTGCCACAATGTCGGTGGCCACAGAAAGGGGATGTGTGCTAAAAGGCTGTTGTATGGACTGCCCACTGGAGCCTGAAGGACATCACAGGTGTAACTGAGAATAAGCACTGGGGAGCTACGGGCTAAGTCAGGTCAGCATATTTCCAGAGCTGACAGGAACAGATGGATTGAGCGCATCAGACATGGACACCTGTATCGAACACAATAGGTTAGGAACGCATTCAACTACACGTGAGAGAAAACTTGCCTCACAATGCCTTCAAAACTAGAAGTTTCGGTTTCTCACAGCACTACATACTGCTGGTTTTGGTTCAGTGGACTGACAAGTTCAAGGCTCATGCCTCTGGGATTATTTTAACCTTTCCCTCATGCTCTTCCCTTGAGGTCACTGAATGGCTGCTCCAGCTCCCAACGATCATTTCCACCTTCATGGCAAGAATAAATTGGAGAATGAGGTGGCACAAGCTGTGCCTTTCCCTACTACTGGGAAAAACAAAAACATTTCTGCAACTCCTAATGGATGTCCGCTTTGGTTCCACTGGCTAGAACCCTCTCGTGTGGGCACCCCTTGCTGCAAGGAGATTGGACAAACAAACATCCTGCCTGTTCTAGGGAACATTGCTGCCCCCAGTAAAACTGGAGTCATGTTAGCAAAGAGGAAGGGGGAATAGATACTGCATTGGCAAGTTCAGTGACTGTCACAAGGTCATAAGTCAAGACCTAGAAGTAAACGCTGACAAACTCCCACTCTTGGGGTTGCCAGACAAAACCCGGCAGGAAGCCCAGTTAAAATCATACAATGCAACTGAGGAAAAGGAGGGGGATAAATAGAAGTAGATGGATTCAACACACAGGAGATAAAAATATCGATAACTTGGTGAATGAGTGGATGCCGGCGGTCATGGAAGGGGAGGGGCTAGGATGACAACCAGATTTTTGGAGTAATTGTTAATTTGCTAAAGAGGGAAACACAAAAGGATGAACAGTCCTGGGGAAAGAGAATGAGTTTCGGTTCAGATAACTTGAGTTTGAGGAGCCTGAAAGGACATCCAAGTGGTACCTCCAAAAGGCACTCTTAAAAGGACGAGAGTCTGGAAATCCAACCTTGCTTCAAACAACCACTGCCACATCTGTATGGTTATGCCTTAGTTGCCCGCATGTTTTCCTGTGAATGGAGAAAGCATTCTGGAGCACAAATAAAGAATATTATGAATAAAAGTTAGAATATTGACTTTAAACAATAAAGGTAAACACTCGTCAGGGGGCCATCTCAATTCTGATCCCAACTGGTACATAAATGCAGAAAACCCCTCTCTGAGCCTTATTTCCCTCCCCAGGGAGAAGACGCTGCTTTGTTTGGATTTGGTCTGCCCAGCACCTAGTTCCATAATCACAGATGGCAGCACAGAAAAGTCCTCGTGGTAATGGCCAGGCCCACACTGCTTGTCCTCGTGGCTGGACTTCATTTCAGACTTCTTAGCCAAGGGGTGGGTCAGTGACCCAAATTAAGCCACTGGCCTCTCCCCCAGGATTTTGAATCTTGAGGAGGGTAACACAAAGTACAGAAGGTGGCTAGGACTCAAGCAACCTGGCAGTGACATCCTGACAAGAGTCTCAAGTACTTCTTGCTATCTAGCTCCATTCAAGGGTCACGTGTCTTGTCCTTTTCCTCTGAGCTGCTTTTCCCCTCAATTCAGCGAGTTACCTAATACTTTTCCAATGAAATCATTTCCACGTTATTTAGTCAGATCAGTTTCTGCTGCCTCTGACTAAAGATCACAAATTGATTCAGGAGGTACTGGACTAAAATTGTTTCCAATACATCTTTCATCCTCAAAACATCCTTGATATATGAATAACTAACATAAATTTAAAAAATTTCTAGTGTATTAAAAAAAACCATTCTTTACAAAAGAGATTTCAAACAGAATTATATTTTAAAATGCATGTATAAGCATGCTGATATCACCTCTATTTTATACTCATGTGTGTGCATACACATGCAAATGTGTATGTCATTGTTTAAACCTCAATACTAATATTTGAGAGCAAGATAGAACAATTACAGTGATTTGTAAAACAGGTTCCTAATTAAATCTGTACAGTTAATGCAAATTATTTTTTTTTAACTAGAATAATTTTCATTTATTAGAATGAGCTGGCTGTCTGAAAAATAAAGATGTATGTCAATTTCCACCATTATATTATATTTGGATTGCTCAGGTTTTACATTTCATAAAATAGAACCACAGCCAAAGATCACTCAATTTATGGAAAGGAACTTTTTAAAAAACACAAATGGAAATATAAAGAGAATGCAAATACATTATTTTATGAATTTCATTTGGATACAAAGTTATTAGTCTTTGGTTTCATTTACATATTAAAACAAATATTAGTCTAAATTATAATGTGTTCTTTCTAATTATC